GGGAAGAGTGATATGTTCCATTCTTTCCATATGAAACCGTCAATCAAGAAATTTCTCTCTCATATTTATCGCTCATCTCACATCTCTCTCATCCATCTTATCCCTCATCTATCTTATCCCTTCATGTTCGACGAGCCACCCGCCGCAAGAGCAGCCCATCGCGAGCAAGCAGGGGTGGTGGTGCCACCAGAGGCGGTGATGTCGACGGGATGTCCACCCGCCGCAAGAGCAGCCCATTGCCGAGAGGATCGCGAGGATGTCAACGGGAGGGGTGCCGAGGCCGACCTTCATGAGGTACTCGCCGGAGTTGGGGGACCACCGGGGTGGTGGTGCCACCAGAGGCGGCGGTGGATTTTTTTTATTATTGTTATTTTTTGTCATGTTATATGTATATTGGATTTTGAGAAATGTTTTATATGGTGTTTATATACAATTTTTTTTCTCATGTTACAAGCTTGTTGCAGAATCAAAGATGTTTATATACTGTTTATTTTATGTATATATATATACACTTTTTGTTCTCGTGTTGGTTATTGCATAATCAAAAATATGTTTATATTCTATTTATCTTGTGTATATATATATGTATATATTATGTCAAGGTATGAAAAAATGATCAGGATGCAGTGAAGTTTCTGCAACGGATCCGATTGCTATAGAGTTGTTTATCTTATGTATATTTTTTTCTATATACTTGTTTATCTGATGTTTATCTTACGTATAATTTTCTGGTTTTAACATAATATTTTGCAACAAATCTTTTATAAAATCCATCACCTTCTGAATCATGTCGTCTAATATTTTTATAGAGAGAGACGAAATATATATATCATGGAGAGAGAATTAATTGGAGAGAAATTAATTAGAGAGAGAGAGAATTAATTGGAGGTTTGATATATGGTGAGAGAGAGAGAGAAATAAAAGAGCAAGATTAATTAGAGATACGCTATTCGTATACATGAAAGAAAGATCCCATCAAAATCCTATTTTAATAAAAAGTTACAAAAAAAATATATATGTAAATATTTGATATGAGTCTATATATGTCAATTTCCCTTTCTAATATGCATAATTCAAAACCCAAAAGTCAAAACAACTCAAAACACAAAGGTCATGTCCAGTCCAACTGGTATTTATTCCAATATTTTCAAAACATGCACCCAAAAGCAAGAAGATGAACATCATCAAGAACCCAGATTTCTAGAAGATCAAACTTTGAAATTTTGGAAAACTGAAAACCGATACAAATAATAATAAT